TCATGCTTTAGTTTGAACATCAATAATATTAGAATACGTCAAAAGCGAGGTTCAATCAATACCATCACCTGAAACGTCTTATGACATTTACAGTCCAAAACCATGTCTGAGGCATCTGAGATTCCTTGACATCAGTATATATTCAAAATTAAATATTATCTTATGAGAATTCCAGCAATATAAATTATATTCTCGATACTTCTGTAGCGACATTTATAAAGATTCATCTAATCTCAAGATATAAAATAAGTAAATAAATACTTCACCCTAGACCTTTGGCTTGTATTCATCTTATCCCCATCCCCCCATCTTCCGCCAGAGTTGGGTGGTTATGACTTCTACTAATTTCTTGAGAATATACACGAATTCAAGTTGGAAATGTAATTTGCATTGCTAAGTCCTTTGAACAATCAATTTGAATACCAGCGTATTATATATTTTTTTTAGAATGATAAATTACATCAAAATTAGTTAAAGCAAATTTGTATGTGTAATCACGAACTATATATCATTCAATCACTATCTTGATTTAATAAATATTCAATTTATATTCTAGGTCATTAGAAGCATTCTCAAAGTCGCTCTTGGACAGATAAATAATCATAGACCTTGGCATCATTATAAACACATATATATTTCCTTTTCCCTGCCAGTAAACAAACCATTTTTGTCATAATTTTAACTGTGTTGATTTATGGTGTTTCACTTTTATTCTCAGCTCCGTGTGTTTTAATTTATTTGAGATGGTGCATCTGGGTGAACTGTCAGTCCTTTTAGTATTTTGTGTTTCTCTCAAGTACCAAACTAATTCATTTAATTTGAGTTTAAAAAGCATTCTTGGAATGTATCTGTAATCTTCCACCACAAGGTGCCGAGGAAAGCCAACTTTTGAAGTGAGACAGTGTATAGTATAAACACGAAGGCAAACATTTCCTGGTTTATTATAAGGAGGTTATTTTGGTGGTGAGCAGTGGGCACCGTGGGCAAAACAGTATTCTGAGCCTGTACTGGAATCTTAAATCTGGAACATTGCCCGTTAAAATACCTGTGAGCAGGTAAACAACACTCTTGACATGAAGTTATCGCTTCAAGGAGAAGAGTTAATGGCAGACCTGATCAGGCAGTATCAGTTGAAGATGATCTTCAGGCAAAAACAAACTTTATCAGAATTAAGCCTTCTGCATCAGCAGCTATTGAGATGCTGGAGAAATGGTGAGGCCTAGCATATCTTCTATTTTAAGAGTTTGGCAGAATGATTTTCGGAGAAATGTGATTTGATTTGGAGATGTTCCATTTGAAGTATGTAAATGGTAAACAGTGATGTCTAATTTCCTATGGTCTTTTTTTTGGTTTACCTCACAGATATATTTGGCGCAAATCCACATTGGTAGATATTTGAATATAATAACTCTAAACAGTCTGGTTTGAGTGGAAATGAAGGGAAAAATGTGAAGAAGAATTGAAAGTGGGAATCATCAAAAAGCATGAGAATGAGATAGAATTCAGTCTGTAGGTGTTAAGTAAATCATTGGTAAAGAAGTAGGTGAAAGAACAGAATCCTGTGGGATATTTTTCTGAGTAGAAAAAGGCAGAGATGGAGTCCTCGACAACAACTGCCATGGATGGGTTCCTCAAGGCTGAGATTAAGAAGACAAAGTGGGAGAAAACTTCTCAGAGAAGTTTAAGCAAAGACTTGCGCATACCCTGTCAAACTTTGCGGAGATGTCGAAACCATAGCGATAGTTTTATAATCCTAGAGGATGATAACAAGATGATTGCAGTAAGGAAGGCAGATCACCAGTGAATCTACTAAGCCATACTAGTGATCCGACTAAAAAAGCGTTCAAGGTGGCAGGAAAACTTTTTTGTTGAGTTTAAGATAGTTTTGCAAATCTTGAGGATGGAAATTAGAACGTGATGGTTGAGAATCAGAATGGTCACCCTTCTTCGAGATGGAGGCTGAACCATAGCATCACTTCAGAAGAAAGGTGTTTGGGTTTGAGGCAATGGAGTCAGAATTTTAGCACCTCTCTCAGAATAAAGTAGGTGTATCTGGTCCTCACCTTATTTGCATCAACTGGATAACACACCGGCCAACCCTGTGGAGATTATAGGAAAGGGTCATAGGATGAAAAGTAGGAGGTGGGGTAGAGAGGATAGGTTGGAATCAAATAAAGGAGAGGCAGATTCTGAGGTTGGCTTTGTAGGGGAGGATTGACTGGAGGTAACTCAGTTGGAAGGGGAGAAAAAGAAGGGTGCGAAGAGGTTTGTTACGAAATCATTTTGGTTTGGGACCAGAAGAGTTTACTAGAAGAAGGATTGTAGTCAGATCAGGAGGTCTTTTTTTATAAAGTTCGCTTATTTCTGAAGAATAACCTTACAACAATTCCTAAAATGAAAGAGGTAGAGTAACAGAAGGAAGGAGAACGGTTTCTAATATCATGTGAACAGGGCAGTCAAGCAGCTGGTTTGGTAAATGGGATATGACTCTCAGGCAGGGCAGGGAGGTACCACCGCCTGGGAGATATTGAAACATAATGTGTTGTCTAATGTTACCACTGCCATAAGGCATCAAAAAGTGTGAAACCAGTCTGAGTTGCTGATCAACTGCCTCATTACAGTTGCAGGTCAGTTGTTTTCTTACTATTGACAACACAACTTACTATATTGTTTTCTCTCTTTTTTTTGTTTTATTTCTTTTTTTTTTGGTTCATATATATTACTGCAGTGTTGTATTTATCATATCATTACTTCTTTTTTCTTTTATTTTTAATTGTTTTTTCATCATTACTTATCTGAATTAATATTATTATAATGACATTATTTTTTCATTGGGCCAGTAACGTTCGTTGATAATATATTATTGAGTGGACTAATCATGATCTAATCATCTGGCAAATAATGTAAATAAGCCGCAACAATCTTTATTAACATACCGGCGTGTCCTGAGGTGGAGAGAATTCTTGCGCAAGGATTACCAGTTTATCGATAATGCCATAGTTGGTAGAATTGGAGATGGTTCGTTATATTTACCCGTCTTTAAATTTTTGAATTCTTTTTGTGTATGATATATTATAATTATTAGAAGAAATTGGTTTGAAATGGTTTGAAGAAAAACATTAATTTGTCATGTAAATACAATTATACTGAATCAAGTAGTGAAATCATATAAGTAACATTATGCTAACTCAACTCTACCTCTGATCAGAGCAGCTGTGTGCTTTGTTTATATTTTTGGTCAGAGAATTACTGTGGATGTGAATTTGACTTTTTTTTGTAATCTTTTTTTTATTTGATCACCCTCTGGGTGTAGCACCATCGCTATTGTTTTGGCGTCATCGACTCACTGCAAATGGCTGACTGGCAGCTGAACTTTCTGTTGACATTTCTTTAATCTTTCCTAGGGCATTTTTCATTTAGATAATAAATAAATGTTTCTTAAAAAATTAAAACAGTCATTGAATAATGTAAGACTTGTATCTGGTGTGGGTTATGTATGCTGGGGAATGTGAGATATTGTGATTAAGCTATACTTATTAGAACATTATTTACGCCTTCGCAAAATTGACGTGTGGTTTGTGATATTGTTATTTGACTAGGTTGTTTTCAGTATGTCATTTTATTTTAATTTTTTGTTGTAGTGGACTAGTGCCGTCTCCCTAGTTCAAGCACCTCCGCCTATATGGCTCGGCCTCCACAGACCCATCTATCTTGGAGCATTAGATGGGGTAATTTTGGCGTCATATAAAAATAAAAATAAAATAAAAATACAAAATAAATAAATAAATACAAAATAAATAAATAAAAAATAAATAATATAAAACCTGAAATATAAATATGGTAATAGAATAAGATTATGACCAGAAATTCAGGGGCAAGGTAAAATGAATATCATGAGGGGTTAGAGGTAAACAAAAGATCAAGAATGTTAGTGAAGTTGATCGGATCGATCCTGAACACATGTAGGGTGTTTAATTATTTGTTCAGATGTTAGAAAGGAAAAAAGAGGTGCCTAAACCCCACCTTGAACAGCCAAGCCACTGTGATGTACAGTCAAGCAAATACCTGTGCATACTGTGGGAAACAATATGAGAAGACGGACGATAGATTTTGGATGAGGCTTACTAGTCACCGTAAAGTTTAGGTATATCATGGCCTCACCTGCATCAGATAGTTGTTTGCATACTGTACATGTGAAATCCTAGGTAGAGGATCTACAGGGTGTGTGGATAGTAACGAATAATGGCAAGAAGTGAGATGTCAAAGAGTTCCATATATAGTTTGGTGGGTTGGAGAACAGGATAGGAAACAAAGACAAATAGTCATAGTTGGCACTCACTTCTAGAATGGTTAAAGGTTGTTAGAGACTTGAAAAGGTTTGGAATGCTGTGTTTTGGTCAGGTTGAAGTTCAGATAGTAGTAGAGATTGGAAGAGTTTAATAATGGTGCTCTACAGAAGAAAAATTATTTCATATTTTCTTTTTAGTGATTAAATAATAAAAATAACAAGAGTACAGACAAAAATATATAAATACCTGGACCAGACAGGAATGTAGTAGTTTTTATTCAAATTTGCTTATTAAATTAAATAAGACCTCATTTATGGAATTTTTAGACTAAAACATAGAATGTTCAGCCATATTTTGGTTATAGTTAAACAAGACCTTCTTGTCATCACACACTTACAGTTGTAGAATTATCAGTGGTCATGGAAGATGGGGTATTCTACTCAATTCTGAAAAAATTATTTCCACATGTGGCAGGTCATTCTTGCAAATACCCGGTACTACTGGACTTAGCTTACTCTAAACTGAAGAGAAATTGAAAAAAGAAACCTTCCCTGAATGTGACTGGCAACTGGATGAGAGGTTTGAGACTATCAATCTGGTTTAACTTTTTAGACGCTTATGTTCAATACAAGTCAAATAAATTTTTAATGTCACAGAATGTTTTAACTTTTCTCCTCAGCTGAGAACTCTCAATTTTTTTCCATGCGACGTTAGACATACATCACCAAAGTTTGGCCACCAGGAAATGGATGTGCTTGCCCTTGTGGCAGGGGCGAGTTGCCTAACAACAGGAGTGACACTGCCCGCCATAAACAAAGCTTCAGATTTTCATCATATTATAGGGAAGTTATGAGCATTACTACATTAGACTTAAAGAACAAGTATGTGTTTATTCTGGTTGTGGAATACATTTCAGTAATATAAATACGAAAATAGGAAATGAATGCCAAAATGGGCGCATTTAGTGCTCAAATGACAATTTCTAGAGTACTAATGGTAGACTCAATACATGTCAAAGGGTCAAGACAGTGTCAATTGAGGCAGTATGCACAATAGCAGCAGCAAAACATAAACACTCACCACACTCTCATGTCTTAGGACAAACTGTGAGCTCTAATCTCTAGTTAAAACAATAGTTTCTCTCTGATTGCTGGGGAACTCCATAAGCTTGGTTGGGAATATTCACGGTTGCTCTCAATGGTGCCAAGTATAAAAATAAGAAGAAACCATAGAACATGGATTGAGTTTTAAAGGCATCTCTATAAATCTCTCTTTGTAATACTGTATGAAATCTTCAAATATTTATTCTCTATATATTTCATGAAAAAGTAAGTGCCAAAACGAATAGAATACCTGGATGGCATCTTCTTGCACCTGCACTTGGCCTACCAATCGATATTTTACTCATCATCATCTCTGTCATATCCAGTAATAATCTGCAAAGGTGAAATATTACTTGAGGAGTTTCTACAAGGCCTGTGGTTCTGTAAAAAATATTAGTCTTAATTTTAAGGTCTTGTTTCATAAGTTCAATGTATTTTCAAAACTACATGTTAATGAGTGAAAATCATATCAGATTCTTTCTAACTTACATCAATTAATATAACAAGTCAAATAGTCTTTTTTTTTCAGGTTCATATAATAATGATCAAACCTTCTATACAGGCTCCCATCATACACACACTAGTAATTTAACATGTGTGATTAAGAACATCAAGTTCACTGAAATCAATTATTTCATAAAGCTTCTATTTCTGGTGATTCCTGAAAATAAAAATGTTAATTAATATTCTGGACTGTCTTTGGTAATACCTCATCCTATTAGTCTGCTCCACCTGGTCCAACACTACGCTGTCAGCTGAGCTGCTATAAGTCGTGGCCACATGCCGTATTTGTGGTGCTGTTCCAGCAGCTGTGATAGGACTGTACCCTGCACTGAACAAGCAGGCATCTCATCAGGAAGATTCAGCTGAAAAAATACAATATAGAATGGAAATTTTTTTCAGTGTGTCAGCTTATACACCAACAGTAACATGAAAGCTAGGACAATACTCCAGATCATCCAGCTGTACAAACACCGCAGCTGCAACAGGGATGTCACCAATATCCTGTGATCATCCAGCTGTACAACACCACAGCTGCAACAGGGATGTCACCAATACCCTGTGATCATCCAGCTGTACAACACTATGGCTGCAACAGGGATGCCATCACCCCGTAGATCATCCAGCAACACCACAGCCGCAACAGGATGTCATCAATTACCCCTGTGATCGTCCAGCTGTATAACACCACAGTTGCAACGATGTCACCAATACCCCAGATCATCCAGCCAACACCACAGCTGCAACAGGATGGCAACAATATCCCGTGATCGTCCAGCTGTATAACACCACAGCTGCAACGGGAAGGTCAAAAATACCCCACGATTGTCGAGTTGTACAACACCACAGCTGTATCAATTATAATTCCTGCCCTTCCAACCAAAATGAAAAGGTATCAGTCTCTAGTTAATTTGTATGTTCACCATATGTTTCATCCACTTTGTATTGAAAGCTTATGTTAATGACACTGTGCTGCCTCATGCTAAGCAAGTGATCCAGGTTTGATCCCAGGGCAAGGTGAACTTGGGCAAGTTTCTTTATGCCATTTGCCTGTCTCACCCAGCAGTAATTAAATCGATGTCACTCTCCGGATCATACACCTTAGTAGCGATTTAATGTAAATGAAACTTTTGCCTTATATCAGATGTGCTGGTATTTATTTTCATTTTCTCTGAAAGTTTCTCCCATATACTTTCAAATTTTAACGCCCACTTTTGTCAAGCCACTCTCTTGCATGGATCCAAGTCTTAAGGCAAGATGGCAACCCCATGTGGTGACCATGCAGTAACAGATAACAAATGCCGTGTAATGCTTCTGCCTCAGTAACCATATGTCTCAATATTTATTCTCATGAAGTATAAAGTGATGTATTGAAATATTTATGATGAAATAGTGAACATTTGTCAATTATGAGACATTGATGAAATGGTTGCCAATGCAGTTGCATGGGTGTACACACAAAAAAAAGCATGTCGAATATATAGGTCGAGCTTGGAAAATAATAAGTGATAGTAAATAAAAGGATTATGGATATTTGTAACAAAGATGTGTCTATAAGTATTTACACTTGCACAGCAACATTTGTATTATATAACATTACCCAAATATATAATACCATAGAGTTTCACCAGGTCAATCACCCATGAGTATGAATCAATCGGTGAGTTGATATCCGGGAGCAGGCGAGGCTGTTGGGCCAGGTGCAGCTCAGCAAACAAATATCTGATGTTGGCTAAGACCTGCTTGACCACCTCTCCTGTAGAGAGAGACTATCATATCACATGTTACCCAGTGAACAACTCACTGCAGTGTTTCCTATGCAAAAATTCTAAGATATTTCTGAGCAGAGAAGGTACATTATACTAACTGAACTCAGTACTGTGAAACTATATTTTTCACAATAAAGCAAAAGCAACAAAGTGTTTACTTAGCCCCGCCACTTATCAACTCATAGAACTATATATATATATATATATATATATATATATATATATATATATATATATATATATATATATATATATATATATATATATATATATATATATATATATATATATATATATATATATATATATATATATATATTATATATATATATATATATATTCTCGTTAATCTAACTCGTTAACGTAATTACTAACGAACTGGCTTCCATAAGGATCTTCAATTTATTAACGTAAAAAATTCGTTAACGAGTTTCAGAACCCATTTCAAGATGTTTTGAACTTGACCGGCAAACCAGCTTTATCAGTCCAATATTAATCGGTTCTAGGTTGCAATTTCAATTATTTTAGTAAATATCAAGAAGTTTATACTATTCAATAAAAAAGTTTAATATTCATTTTTAGTCATTTTAACAATTATTGAATAATTGAAGGTAAAGGGATTATTTAATGGCATCCAGCCTCTTAACACAGCAAACAGGAGAGGTCTCTCTCTGTTTTTCACTGGAGGTAACATCTTGCTTGAGTCTCTTCAACTAAACGCTTTTTTCTGTATTTCCAAATAAATTATTAGTCTTTTGAAATATATTTTACATATTAACAATATATATAGTGCAGTGTTGATTTAAAAGAAATAATCTTGAATTACACCAGAGAGCTAAAATTTGCAGAATGCGCAAGTGTCTCTCTTCCACCCCAATGCCTTCTCTTCTTCCTTCTCCTCCACCCCCATTCTAACCCATCATCATCATCAAGGAGCCTTCTACATACACACACCTCAAAGTAAGTGAACTTTTTCTACCATTTTTGTTGAATTTAGGAAATTTTCGTGAGCTGAAACCACTACTCAAAAACCCATTGAAACAATGGTTTCGTTAATAAACTTTCGGGTTAACGACGCACTTCTGAACGGATTGGAGTTCGTTAATCTGAAGGGTCACTGTATATATATATATATATATATATATACACCTAGACCTCCTCATTATGGGGTTAGGACCCAAACCAGGTCGTAAGTCCGACATGGTCGTAAGTCCGATATAGATGATAAAAAAAAAAAAAAAAAAAAATTTTAATAAAAAATTCATAATGAAATACAGTATAAAAGTAATGAATAATGATAATGGATACAGTACAGTGAAAGTAATAAATAATATGAATGGATACAGTTTGACTGAGCACTTAACCTTTAATGTAGTCAGCTGAATGCACATGGGCCCTATAATTTTCTAATTATACATGGAGACTACATTAACTGGAAAACGTTTCGTATAGAAATGCGTGTCATTTAAAATTTTTTTTTTTTTTTTTTTATCTATATCTGGAGGCGGTCAAGTCCACGAGTGTAAGTCGGAGGTGTATATATATATATATATATATATATATATATATATATATATATATATATATATATATATATATATATATATATATATATATATATATATATATATATATATATATATATATATATATATATATATATATATATATATATATATATATATATATATATATATATATATATATATATATATATACACACACACAGTCTAATTCTATAATTTGGACTAATAAGGGTGTCTTTTAGCTGATTGTCCTAATTAACCGACATTTAGGTGTCCGTTTTAGCCGATTGTCCGAATTAACCGATTTAGGTTAGGTTAGGTTAGGTTAGGAAATATAGTACCGTATATACACTGTACGCTGAACATGATACACAGTAACAAAAATACAGGAAATACTGTACTATAAACATCATATAACTAGCTATATAAAACATTACAATATGTTAATTTCATTTACCTTTGGTAGATGACAGATGAGCTTGATGTGGTGGAGGAGGGGGGTAGAGGTGATAAGGTGTTATTCGGAGTCAGTAGAGCTATGATGCTCTACTGGTCCTTGTCCCCCACTCGTAGAAGGCCGAGGTGACTGAGGATGGCCTGAGTCAGCAGCAGGCTCAACAGCTGCAGCAGGGTTGGAACAAACCGGCTTGAAGAATGAGTCTAGTTTCGGTTGTTTACCTTGATGATGCTGCCTCTGGATAATGAGTTCCCTAAGGGCTCTAATATGTTGATAGTAATGCTGAATATCATCAGTTTCTGCTGACAATTCAATGTACGAAATGACATTATCAAGGGATTCTCGTATAACAGAGAGTTTGGGTTTCTTGGGCAATGGTTCTTCGTCTTCCTCATCTTCACTATCTCTGCTGTCACCAACGAGAACTTAATCCGCTATTTCTTCTTCTGTTAAAACTTGGTATCCAGGGTCACCCTCTGTGTCTTCTAGCCAGTTTCTGATGTCGTCTTCTGTGACATCATTTTCACCCGCCCTCTTAAGGATATGATGAAAGTCCCTTGCCTCGAATCCTTCGAAATCATATGCTAGCCTCCACATTGTACAGAAGTTTTTTCCAAGCATTGGCTAGAGTGGTAGTCTTCAGTGTCTTCCATGAAGCTGCTAAGTTGAATATTGCAGACTTGAAGTTGTAGTTCTTGACGTTATTAACAGTTCTTTGTCCTCGTGTGTCTTCTGTAAGATCTTCCTCTTCTTCTATAACCGCAAGAGCTTCGTCCAGATATCTTCGTTGGTATATTCTCTTGCAGGCTACAATTATACCCTGATCCATCGGCTGGATCAGGGAGGTAACATTGGGTGGCAGGAACATGCATCTTATTTTACCATCATTACTGACAAGCTTGTCAGAACCTGGGTGAGCAGGTGGTGCGTTGTCCAAAATTAGTAGCGCCTTCACCTCAGCAGCAGGAAGTTTGAGGACATCTTCTTGATATTTTGCACTGCAGGAATGAAATGCGAGAAAACCAATCACTAATGATTTGCATGTTGAACCACGATTTCTTGGAGTGGTAATAATGCACTGGTAGATGGTGCATCATGTCTTTCAAAATACGCGGGCGTGCTGACCTCCCCACCACCACTAACTTTAAACGGTGCATACCGTCAGCATTCGCACAACACAATGCCGAAAATCGTTCCTTACTTACTTTGCGACCAGGTGAGGAGGCTTCATTCTTGAAAGCTTGGGTATTCCGGGGTAGGGACCGCCAATACAACCCACTTTCATCCACATTATAGACTTGGGAAATCAGGAGCCCTTCACTCTTAATTAAGTCATTTAGCCTGTCCCTGAATGGTTCGATGTCCTCGGTGGGTGCGCTACCAGCTTCACCATGCGTAATATTATTACACATTCCATGGCGATTTCTAAATCGCCATAACCACCCGTCACAAGCTTCGAAATTCTCGATGCCCATATGACTTGCTAGCTTAACAGCAGCAGCTTGTATTTCTACACCACGGACGACATTACCGCAGGATCGTTGCTGCACAAGCCACTTCGTCACTGCCTCCTCAAGATTTGTATCTTTTGCCACTCTCATATGCTTCCTTGCACCAGCAGATGATGATTTAGAGGTTGCATCAACATTATATTTCAAAGAAAATGCAGTGAGTTTGTCCTTAGCCTTGCGTATGTCCGAAACTGTTTGCTTTTTAACACCAAACTCGTCACAAACTCTAGCCACCGAAGCACCAGCCTCTAACTTCCTTATAAGTTCCAGTTTCTGGTTCACAGAAAGGGTCACATACTTCCTCTTCGGCATTTTACTCCCCCTTGAAGACATGATGTAAAATACAAGGCTGAAAGATCCCTAATCACTGAAACATCAACGAAAATTGCAGGGCATCACAACACTGATACTCGAATATGGCGCTAGGTCAACAATGACTGGCGTGACTCATGTGCGCACAAGGCCGCCGCGTGACCCATCTTTCAGACAATCCCAGAACCATAAATTTGGTATGGACTCGTCTATAGCCCTCCCTCGTTTATAGGTCGACCCTGATTTTTTACCCAAAAATCGTTAATTTATGATATTCCTTGTTTATAGGTCGACCCAAGTTTTTGAGGGTATTGGAACAACAAAACCTTCAGTAAAAACACTCTGCGTCCTATAAACTGAGGCTCGACGTGCCTGAAACACCGAGTGCCGAAGGCAAATTGTTTACCATTTATTATTACGACACTTTACACTGAAACGCAGGTAGTATTTATTCAAGTCCATTAGGAGGAAATATTATTGTATACAACAGTTTTTTAACTGAAAACCATTCGAAAAGCGATTACGGTAAAATCTTTTGAACAATGAAAGAAAGCGCAAGTCATTGTTTTCGTCATGATTTTATCCCACTTTCCACTGTAATATGTACGTCATTTCAGCAAAAATATTACATTTCCATATTTATTTCTGAGAATATATTCATTCAGTCACAGTTAAGGTAAAATATACTTGTGATGTAATATTTTACTGAAAATACCAGGTATTTAGAAATACGGTATCGTAGTTTTCTTTTGTTTCAAATTTAATTAACAAAGAGTGATGTTTCAAATGCAATGAACAAAAATTTATGTATCTATAAATAAACGTTAAAAAATGAATACTTTGTTTTACATCGTCCTGTGCTACCATACCATGCATTTGGCTACTTTGGGCTTGCTATGATGACGCAAGAGATCTGCCCTGGCAACTGTACCGACACTCACAGCTGGTGGTGCGTCGTTTCCATTGTTTACTGGTAGTTACTGGTAAATATTTTTCAACATAACGAAACTATTACCCGTTTAGAGGTCGACCCCCAATTTTTTGCCAAGGGTCCACTAAACATGTAGCTATGTGTATGTATGTTTATTTGAGTGCCCCGTCATAGGAGTCCGTTTTCTCTCCCTTCAGGACGCCCGAGTCTTCCGTTTTCTCTCTTAATCTTAGAGTGCACCAGAGACTTTGTTAATCCTTAGTGATGACACAAAATTTGAAATTGCAACCCCAATTGCAACCGGGACAATCCCAGAACCAGAAATTTGATACGGACAGTTCAGATTTCGTCCGATTTATCCGAAATCCGGATTAAAGGGGTCCGAATTAACGAGGGTCGACTGTATATATATTACACTGATAATTAATCAGCATGAAGACAGTACAAAGCAGCATAAACAAAGGTAAGTATAGAAGTGCCGGACTGCCGGTTGGAACAAATATCGGGAGTGTAGACACTGAGTGTCAAGCGTGGGGTCCTGTATATCAACACGGCACAGGTCAAAAAGTGGTGTCTTCTCAACAACTTGACAGGGGAGCAAGTATCCTCCTAACTGGCACAGGTACTTGATAATGGACCCGGGAGGAGCAGCATAGAGGCTAGGAATGACAGTGTCCTATCTGGTATGCTGACATGCAAGGCTAGGAGTACGACAGCTCACACCAACGTGACCATGAATAAAAAGCTTTTGATGAGGAAGTAGACAGAATGTTAGAATTAGGTGTGATTGAACCATCTGACTCACTGTTGTTCACCAGTTATTCTTGTAAAAAAGGTAGATAACAGTTTAAGAGTTTGCATAGATTTTAGATGTCTAAATGATGTGACAAAGTTTGATGCAGAGCCTATGCCTACTATTGATTAATCTTTGGAAACTTTGTAAATGATAAATATTTCACCCAGATAGACATGTGTACAGGTTACTGGCAAGTAGAATTGTCAGAAAACTCTAATCTGTACAGCTCTTGCTACTCATCGTGGTCTGATGCAATTTCGATGTATGCCCTTTGCAGTAAAAACTACCTGTGCTACCTTCATATGACTGATGAGAAAGGTGATTTTTGGATTGAGGAACACGATGTTATTTTGACAATGTATTAGTTCATAAGTCATATCGGAATGAACACTTGCAAGATCTCAAAGAGTTATGTGAGAGGTTATGCAAACATGGATTGACTGCTGGTCCCAAGAAGTGTTTCTTTGCTTATTAAAAAATAGATTATTTGGGATATTCCCTTGAGAACAATCAACTCTCTCTGCGAGAGGATAAAATAAATGCTGTAATCAATATGCCTCTACAAAGCCATAAAAAGCAGCTGAGATCATTCCTGGGTTCAGCATCATTCTATGGGAAATTTATTAAAAAATTTGCAGATATAGTAGCACCAATAAATGTATGCTAAAGAAATATAGAAGTAATGTACTAGATTGGAGCTCAGAACAGATTGATAGTTTTAATGGACAAACTGTCAGATAAACCAACTTAATTTTCGCGTGATTATGCTAAAGATTTCTTAAACAGCAGCTCGAAGCAAACTTCCAGCCTCTTCTCCCCCATCCCTTCAAGGAGGAAGGGTAACTACTGCATGTGTCTCCATTAATTGAGGTACAGTTTGAAGGGAAAAGGATGGGTGATTGGTTACATAATAATTAACACAACTACCCTAGCAAACATTTGTGCTTCTAGAAAGTTTCCTTATATTAGAGTCATCTGACAAGGGGAATCAAGGCAGAACAGAAAAATGGTGTAAGAGAAAGGTACAAGACCAGAGTAGAAATTGAAAAAAGGGCTAATACAACAAGTACCGGGAGACATACTTCAAACACACCTTTCCTCATAACCTTAACATGCATATGTAATACAGATGTGACAGGAAATATATAATTTATAATCCAAAATTAAAGATAATAAAGTTACAAGTTTAAAAAAATTAATGTTTTCAAACATTTTTAGATGCTTAAAGTAAAAAAAATAAAAAATAAAAAAAACTAACCATTGTAACCATAACCAAGTTAGCTACGGTCTCTGCATTGAGTTTCTCCACCAACCACCGCTGAGTGATGTCTACAGCAGAGTTCTTCTCAACAACTTCCTCAACTTTTCCCTTTTTCTCTTCCTTATCCAATCGAGGCTTCTTGCTTGATGACTCGACCACTCCTTCGACTGGTTTATCCCGTCTCACTCTCTTTCTTATTGTTTCTTTAGATGGCATGGACTTATTAACCTGCAATAATACACAACAAGCACAACTATAAATTTTGTAATGGATCTTACTTCATTCATTAAAAAAAATTCAGCTTCTTCTGGGCATCTACAACTTCATCAGAATCACCAAATAAATACTATTATATATAATGAAGTGAAGTGACAAGAAACTTATGTAAAATAATCCTAAAGTACTACAGTATTCACGTTTGCCATCATGGGTTTCAAGAAGATTGCCAATAATGATATGTTTTTGTGTGCACTGTTCAGTTTGTGTCACGGTAAAGTTAAATTCGCCGCTGAAAGAATGGAATACAGTAAACCCTTGAAGATCCAGACCCGGAAAATCCGGATTTCGGAAGATGCGGACAAAAAATTTGGGGGTTCTGAGATTAGAAGCCTCCTAGAAGTTTCCCTAAGAAGCATTCCCAAACCAGAGCAAAGAACAATTTAGGCCCGTGGGCGCTGCTTGACCCATCAGTTGCTTGGACACAGGTGCCCGAGGAGGTGTGAAACATAAACAGAGTTGTCAATCGTTGTTTGTGGGAATATTATTTCATTCACTCTAGTAATGATACAATGTTTCTTATTATGTTATCATAGGTAAATGCTTGGTTTATATACGACAATTTGTTTATCACTACATTAGTACTGTATTTTTGGTGTTTCTTAAATTATTTATTATTCGCCAGAAAATCCGGACAATTGGCTTTTCCGGACAGGTGGTCCCCCCTTTTAGTCCGGATCTTTGAGGGTTCATTGTATTGGCATCTACACATCAAAGCCTCAGAAGAAATGTTACCATTCTCCACTGCATTAGGTTATAATTATACAAAGAATTGTTGGCTATATCCTGCAAGAATCCCATAAAACATACAAGTGCCTGCAAAAACCTCTAGCTGAGAGGTTGTTTTTACAGTGAGATGAGATGAATCAGTCTTCTGGTCAGGCATATGACCAGACATGACAATTGATGAAGGCAGGGAAATCTCAAGGTGGCCTGAATAACAGAACACACAAGGAAGCAGCACAAACAAAATGGCTACTATCTGCACATGTTGTAACATAGTACACAGATACTCTCTTAAACTTAATGGGTAGCTAGTATTGCTGGACCTTGGTCTCACTAGGAAATACAACTTGGACATGTATTCTCACAATGTATAGTACCCCAGTTGTGTAAGTCTCACTACCTAAAATCATTTGGAAAATGTAAGATTTGGAGGATCCTCATTTACATCTATGATTACAATGATGAGGTATCTAATTAAACTGCCTTGTAATATAATGACTAACCTTTTTCATTAAATGCTAAAAAGCAAATACCATTTGCCCTAAAATTGGAATCTCATTCTCTGATAAGATTTCCAAACTTGGTCCAAGGATCATCCAATTAATAGTGTGTTCACAGTACACAAACCTAAATCTCCTTCTGTGTGTTAAAATCTCCTACATCACTCTACGTGGTACAATTTCTAAAAAAAAAGAAAGAAAAAAGACAATTCCAATTCTGCTTCAACCAGGTTCCCAATTCTCCAGAAACTTGAGACTCCATTCCAAGGATCAGATGACTTGCAACAATCTCAAGGGTTGTTTCAAAGAGAGGAATCTCTATAAATCCTTAAATGCCTTATTGGTTCTGGACTTGTGGGACTATGCTGAAAAAAAATAAGTTGGCTGCACCTGCAGGCCAACATAAGTTTTTTTTTAGTTTTTTTCTTGCTGTTTGTACCCTTCTGATGAAAACCCAAAACATTAACCAAATTTCAAAATGTCCTTTCTGTTAGAAAATCAGTAATTTGTAAATTACAATTACAGCCACTCCCCGACTTACAACGGGGTTAGGGATCCAAATCCAGGTCGTAAGTCGAATTGGCCGTAAGTAAAAAATGTGAAAATAATACATAGAAAATCTAAAATGGGTGTCTCCTTTTCTTCTCAGCACCACAAAACTCTCACTTTTAAGCTTGCCAGCCATTTTAAAGGGAATTACAAACGAAAATTTTGTCAGTACACAGCGCAATCACTAACGTCGGGACTCGAAAATACGTAATTTGAAAATTTTTTGGTACGACTGGGGCGGTCGTATGTCCGGGTGGTCGTAAGCCGAGCAGGTTGTAAGTCGAGGAGTGGCTGTATTTGAAAAAAATAAATAAAAATTAAATATGCTAATGGGTGTTTAAATTTTCATGTAAGCCCCTATCAAACAATAAAGTCACACATGACATACTAGAAAATAGTACAGTAAAACCTTGATAAATCGGACTTCAATACTGTATATTGGAACTCGCTTTTTTTCAGACTTTCAGGCGCTCTGGTCACCCGGGAAAAAAAAAAGTACTAGTACATGCTTTAAGAAATGGGGAAGATTAATAAGAAAATCTTATGAAAAGAAAAACACTACCATAATGGATACTGTACAGTGGTCTAATCAGATTTGTTATAGGCCTACTGAGAACTAAGACACTTGAGTACGTAAGTAGGCTGGGGCTGATCAGGTGTTGCCGCATACGTCAGGTTTATTTTATTGATTCAGTATTATATTCTCAAATGATTGGCCTCTTATGGTTCATCATGATTAATATAACATCTTCAATAAGAGAAAAAAACAATATGTGAGGCACCGAGTGTGACACGGGGCCAAGTTATAGTATTATCTGTACTCCCCAACTTTTCCTCTATCTGCAGAAACACAAACTGTCTCGGCAGCACAATATTTATAAGACCGAGAACCATATTAGTGAAGGGAGGTAAATGCGTCTATACAGCACGTGATCTGCGCCTCGAGGTGGACTGAGGGGCAGAAGGGGACAAGCGCCCACGGCCCCCAATCGTAGCCTCTCTCACTCATAGCGGCTCATTATTTTCCGGTTTCTTAGCAACTGGGAGTTCATGTTTCTACAAAAATGTCATAGGAATGCTATGTCATAACAATTTAAAAAAAAAATTCCCAACTGGCAGAAAGGAGGAAGTGAAGGCCATTGAGAAAAAATAAACAATACAGAGGAGGGTGGGACTGAGGGCTGGTGGCACGCAGGGTTTTATGGTCCTGTCCGAGTGACAAGTCTCATCGCACAAATAGGGGGAAACAGAGGAAGGAGTCGGCAGCTGGGAGCGAGGTGAGGGTGGATGGTGCGTGTTAGTAGGAGGCTTACAGCTCTAAGTTAGGGAAGTGCCTTTCTGTTCTCCATGAATTATTCCTTCATTTTCCAGTAATGTCAAGTGACAATAGACAGGTGGCCACTACCTCACTTGTATTACCAATGTTTAATATTGGAAATACAAGTCATTGCTTACTGTAATTTTTCCAATAATAAGTAAGACTTAAGTAACTGCATTTTTTTTATTATACTTTTTGGTGCTTGGCCCCCGGTCAAAATATTGTTAATACCTTGTAATAGTTTGCTCTTATGCAAACAGTACAATGACCTTTGACTTTCTGGTGTGGTCTTAATACATTACTGCTTGCATGTAATGAAAATTATATCTTAACAATGCATATTAATGAAATTGCAAACATTACCCATCAAAAACAATGTAATTTTTACTATCAACAATCTTTTCAATTAATGACTTTAGTATCTGCAAAACCAGCATTAAGAGCTCTACACGCTGCCATTTGAATGAACTTAATATCTTCATTGGTTCAAAAATGACATCATTTTGATTTTTTCCAAACTTTAAGAACATTTTTCTCGATTGTGAATTTTGGCGCTTGGCCCCTTGTCGCACTCGGTGCCTCATGTAATTTGTTATATGACTTGAAAATAAAAGGAGAAGCTGTATCGGAAGATTATTTACTCAAGATGTGTTGAGTGAGAGTTTTCAGCAGACCAGCTTACAACAGGGGTCACTATAGCACACTACAGTATTTGATATGAAGATACTTTCCTAACAACGTTATTGACTACCTTTGAGTGATATATGATGACTCAATTTGGCTACTTGTATACTTAGACAAATGATTAATTAATAAACCAGGGTTTAAGCAAATGCATAATACCGTACACTACAATATTATTTAAGTGATGATAAATACACTACAATAATATTTATTAAGTGATGATAAAACACTAGTGTACTGTACTGGACTAATTTACTAAGTGTTGAAGACAGACATTGTGGTAGGCAGCTACGCCTATCAGCTGTTTGCCCATTGTAAACAACGACTCGTGGTGTTGTGGGATTCTTTTTTCAGGAAAGTTGATTCTTTTAGGATAATATTTTATCAACCTGGCACCAAATGATTCTAAATTAATATGAGAATTATGGTGAAGCTGCAAAAAGAAATGTGTAAGGAAACTTGGGAGAGAAAGGGGGAGGGAGCCACCCACCTGTGCTACCCCCCTCCCCTCCACCAGCTGCTCCCAGATAAACACTCCTACATTTATTTTTTTTATCTTTATAGAACAAAAAACCATCAATAACTCTGCATTTGATACCGCGGAACTTCATGTATTAACTCGGCATGGATATGGTCTCGGAATGTATAATAGTACAACTTGGGAAATGCCGAGATATATAAAATTATCTGGGAAAATCTCGGCACATGTGGCCACCTGCATCACCTACCATGCCTCTGTGTCACCTACCATACCTATGTCACCTACCAAGCCTCTGTGTCACCTACCATGCCTCTGTGTTACCCACCACACCTCTGTCACCTACCATGCCTCTGTGTCACCTACCATGCCTCTGTGTCACCTACCAAGCCTCTGTGTCACCTACCATGCCTCTGTGTCACCTATCATGCCTCTGTGTCACCTATCATGCCTCTGTGTCACCTATCATGCCTCTGTGTCACCTACCATGCCTCTGTGTTACCCACCACACCTCTGTCACCCTACCATGCATCTGTTCACCTACCATACCTATGTCACCTACCATGCCTGTCACCTACCATGCCCTCTGTGTCACCTATCAGCCCTCTATGTCACCTACCATGCCTCTGTGTCACCCTATCATGCCTCTGTGTCACCTACCATGCCTCTGTGTCACCTATCATGCCTCTCTGTCACC